CCGTTTCCTGAAGGTGCGGTGTCGCCTGATGTTCTCGTGGTAGACAAGCGTGTCTTGGGGCTGGACGTACGCCCGACGTCTTCTATCATCCCCTTTACTATGAAACATAGAGACTATTACCTTTTCCGCCTCCCTCCTCAGCCGGTGTATGTAGGCAGCGAGCCGTTTCCTGAAGGTGCGGTGTCGCCTGATGTTCTCGTGGTAGACAGGCGTGTCTTGGGGCTGGACGTAAGTCCAGTAAGACTAGACTAACGCAAGACTAACGCAAGACGTCTTCCGTCATCCCCTGTACTATGTAACGCAGCGACTATTACCTTCTCCGCCTCCCTCCTCAGCCGGTGTATGTGGGCGGCGAGCCGTTTCCTGAAGGTGCGGTGTCGCCTGATGTTCTCGTGGTAGACAGGCGTGTCTTGTGGCTGGTTGTACACCGGGTATAACGTCTGCGGGCCCAGGTGCGATAGAAGTGCGTGCGCCGACGCCGCCTGGAGAGAAATATTCGTTTTTTTAACAAAAGTAGATAATACAATACAAATGTAACACCTATAGTCTAGCGGTTACGATCTAAGATTGTTTTTAAAATCTATATATAATAAAAGAAAGTCGTAAATAAACGAATTTGAAAAAAATTTAAAAGGAAGTCGTGTTAGTTACTCCACTTATAACTCAAGAACGGCTGAACCGATTTAGCTGAAAATTGTCAGGGAGGTAGTTTAGAGCCAGGGGAAGGACATAGGATACTTTTTATTGCCATTAAGGCGGAACAAAGTTCGCCGGGTCAGCTAGTGTTACTATAAATACAAATTACTAATAGTCCTGTTAAACCCTCGTGGTAAGCTAAATATGCTTGTTTTAGAAGTGGGTCCACCACATTGTTCCAAAGGTCGACGGTGTTCGAACCAGCGTTCCTCGGATCTAGAGTTAGCCAGTCCGACACCGCCATTGTTAGGCTACTGTCTTCTCAAATTATACGTTTAATATTACGTCTAAAAAGTAAAATATTCTCAATAGAGATACAAATCACTCAAGCAAAACAAGAATCGCTCATTTGACTATTTTTTAGTCCCGTTAAACCCTCGTGGTTAGCTAAATAGTGGTTACGAGTGGGTTCACCACAATAGTCTGGCGGCGGGGTTCGAACCTGCCTTCTTCGGATCTCGATTCCAACAACGACACCATAACTATAGTCGCTTATTCACAGAGACTTAAGTGAATATAATGTTTTCTTTTATTCAGTAGATTTACTTAAGCTATTTTTGTAAGTTCTGTGGCTACTGCCTGAAGTAAAAATAATCTGAATTATTTACCTTCCCGCTTACCTTTTTCCTGTTATCCGCGTACACGCACTGCGCCAAGCTCCTGTGTCTTGGCACGGCTTCCTCGGGCTCCTCGGCCCTCGCTGGCTTAGAAGCGGTCTGTTCCAGCTCCTCTTGCTTCTTTTTTAACTTGGCCAGGGTCGCCTCTGACAACGCCATCTCGCGGTCCACCTGGAAAACAGGAGGTTGGAGTGAAAATGGGCCAAGTTTCGATGATTTTTTTGCATGTCACATTACAAATAGTGTTATAATAAAGATACAGGTATACATGTGACGCCGTGTAAGAGTATAGCAAAACATCAGATGTTGTAGAGATGAAGAATTTTAGTTTTGTATAAACATTATGAGTGTCATCGTATCTCTTACTAGGCTATCTACAATAATATTCTAATAATAGTAATTTTTAAGTGACCCCTATGGAAACAAAATTCCTGTTATGTATTACCATAGGGGTCAGTTAAAAACTAGGGATTGATGGTGAAAACGGGCATTATGAGGATTTGATGGTTTGTATCGAATAGGTTCCGAAAGTTCTGGACCGATTTGATAAAATATTTCACCATGAGAATGCTACGTCGTAGGTGGTACGAAGTTTGCCAGGACAGTAAGATATAATGAAGTAAATTACGTGACTCCCATCAAGCTTTGGTCATCAGCGTTTGTAAATACAGAAGTACCGTGTGACCTGTTAATAAAAATATCTTTATTCACTTTTCACCAATATTTGATATTTTTGCACAATGCAAAAATTACCGCTATAAAAAGATAGCTCTTGAGAGGCTCTTTACATGTCTTCTTATCTTTTGGGCCCTGCCAGATAGTAAAACTGAGTAGGTCCCAACCACCATATTTCCCAGTGGCAGTTGGCGCAAAATTGTTTCAACCACCACGTTAGTTGCCATCTGCCGACCACGTTCCCTAACGTGGTGGATGGGACAAATAAACTTTCATCGCAAACGTTGAGTTTATAATTAACTACGGTGAATAAAAAGTGTCAGGGCAAACGAAAAACGATAGTTAAAGCATCAGCAGAATAACGCTGCTCTGATATGATCCTTACCTTCGATATCTGCTGCAGCAGGTCATCTTTGGTGGTGCGAAAGCTATCTTCCGCAGTAGGCTCGGAAGGGGGGTTGGGCGAGAGCTCCACCGCGTTATACGCGTTCACCGGCTGTTGGATTAAACATACCAATTAATACTGATAATTATTTTATTCTAAACATTTGCTCGATGACCCAATCAAGAGGCTAAGTGCGGTTTATTTTTGTTAAGCGGCTATTCTATGAAGTCCCAGTATCACTACGACCGGTACCGATCTATTGTGATCGCCACTATTTTAGTTACAGTTCGCCTCCGAGTCCTGCATCCATTAGGTAGTGCAGTATCGTTTGGGGGGCGATATGTTTTAAATCTTGTGGACTTAGGATGTGCCCAGGTGTAAGCTCCTAAGCTAAGGCGTTTAATTTTGTTATTATTGTAAGTGTAAATTAAAGTTAAATTGACACGTAGTATAAAATAAGGTGTCATTGACTTAACGTTATTATTATTGTCATACTCTTCATAAGAATAGTACATAACGTTCTTGGCGTATCTATTACATCTCTATCTACGAGGACCTATAATAGGCTTTTTAGTGTTTTTGGTACGAAGAGCATTGAGGTCAGGAGGGAAACTAACTACCTAGTGAGTGTAGAATCCCTTATCTCTAGCCTTAGCCAGTCCAGATATCCCAGGGCAGCATCAGAATAGCAAGCAGGCGGCGAGGACCCGCTACCAGCATGATATTTTTTTAAATATTTTGTAAGAAGATTATTAGCAATTTGTTTTGCCCAAATTACTAATAGTCCCATTAGCCCCTCGTGTTAAGCTAAATAAGCTTGTGTTACGAGTGGGCTCACCACAATAGTCGAGCGGCGGTGGGGTTCGAACCCGCGTTCCTCGGATCTCGAGTCGGTCACTCCAACCCCTTCACCGTTCGGCTATCGTGGCTATGGCTATTGAAATGTATGTCAGACTCACCACTCTTGTATCGACTCTGAGGGGCTGATGGACCGGCAGCGGCGTGGGTGGTGGCCTCTCGACGCCGAACCGTATCTTCTTGAAGGGGGGCGGGTCCGCCGGTGGCGGATGGTGCGGCTGCGGCGCCGGCGCCGGCAAGTACCCACTGCCGAGCATGGACATGCGGGTGCCACCGCGGTACTCGCCCACCGCACCGCCTCCTCGCACGTAACTGCCATCCCTGGAATAAGGAGAAGGAGCATTTAGTTCATGATCTATTTGCATGCTTCTTGACGACAAGATGTGCAATTAAGCTAGCTTGTATTTATTTATTAGGTACACCAACAAAGTCACATACATAATACAGTTCATACATTTTAACATGGTTTAACACATGATGCGTATATGACCTCAATTACAGGTATACACAGCATTTCTTTTTGCAATGTTAGAGAACTTGTAAACCATGTTTTATGCAAATAAAGCGTTTATTCCATTATCATCAGGTCATTTAGTTTCTACTGCAGCAGGACGATTCTAATTCACATGAGGC